GAGAAATTTTCTGACCAAGCGTCACGGCCGCTTATCTCGCCGCCGTGTCTGTTATCACACCACGGAAGTCTACATCGTTTGCATTACATCATCTCCCAAAGCGATTAACCGACCTCCGCGTGGCACACCCCTTGTGTTGTCACCTTCAAATCATCGGTTCGTTTTATTCCCATGGCAACATGAGAGGGAGAACAGGTGTGGTGACTTCTAACACCTCATTTGCTAAACTACATATCTGGGTTAGATGATTAGAATAGCTATTCGAAACTCGTTCATTGACCTCTTTCAGTGATAGTATTTGCCGGTCCAAGTTATCAGCGGAACATGTCTTGGGGCTCTAGCAACAATGTGATTGCGATGTCACGATTGTGACGAAGTCTTTGTACCTGTGCGCTCGTTGGAATTGGTGTGAAAAAGAATTCCTCTGAGCATGATTAACGCGCAGCTTACTAAACACATCGCTTATTTCGAGTCCATCCACCGTCACGCAATTCCAGAGGGATCACACTCAACGTGGGTGTCTCCGGTTGATTTGAAACCGGTGCAATTTTTTCTATGGAAACTCGGGTTGCGATGCTTGTTCAGCATGTAGTCACTCATATTCAACACGGGGGGTTATTGCATATTTCCTGTTCGGCTATAATACCTCACTTTCTTTGTGCTCTCCTAGTGTCTTGCCATCACTACGTGTCGAACATATCGCTCGATATCATACGCCTGCTGCTGTGATGACGGGGTGCATCCAGATACAAGTCATGTTCCATCTCATACACCGTGGTCTCATCTATTGTATTCAGCTAACCTTGTCATTTCGGCGGGAGACGAATTGGTGTAATCACCGTGTTCGTGACAGCCTCCTGCTGACAGAATTAACTCCGATACATTCGCGTGACACAGCGCACCGTTGACCCCGTAGCCTAAATCAAATAACCTAATCGATGATGTGGTTGAGTTAACCTAATTGCCACCTGCTACCACATGTTAGTCAATCCGAAGATGAGACATGTAGCTTCTGGAGGCGAAAGTTCCCCAGATGGCCTGATGTACTGCTCCGCAGGAGGGAGACGGAATGCTTACAACAATTGGTGTATTAAGAGGATAAGGAATTTCAGCCGGCTGAGCAGAGTGATAGCCACCTTTCGAACGGGTCACTACATTTTAAGATAAATTTCACCGTCCTCTCAAGGTTATTGCATTCACGCCATTGCGATAAAATCGGATGAAATTAATTATCTGTCCTCCATTGTTCTCTTGCACTAACTGAGTCGTGATCAAACGTATCGACTGTGAATTCAACAAAAAGTCCGGCCCATGCCGACGACGGATTAAAGCAAATCTCATACCCGTCAGTTGACCGGCCTATTGTTGACTATAAGGTGTGGGTGCGATGGTTAGCTCATATTGTTCCGAGAAGACGAAGCGAAACGCCATCAGTCTCACACTGCAGATGAGACAAATCCATTTCGAATCTGTGTGCACTTGGTTTCATCTGTCGCTTGCTTGGCCTGGAAGTGAGAATTACGCAATGTTTTCACCACTGTCCCACGTCAGCCAAACATGAATTGGGTGAGTGTGTGGGTGTGTCTGTGTACACGTGTGTGTGTAAGTTTGTGTGCGTGCCCTCGGGCAAATGTTTCCTTGAGCTGGCCCCACGTGTGAAAGCCACTGAGACACGAAGGCCGGTGACCTATGCAGTCCGGGCGGTCAGCCCAGATCCAGATTTTTTGTCGAACAAAGACCATTTCGATGCCTAACGCCGAAAGGGGTGCGGGTGGGGGTGCTAGGCAGTGAGCCATAAAGCTGGTGACTGAGCGTAAGCACAAAGTTCGGCGAACTATTCCACTAGTAATCGGTAACAATCATCATAGTCGTAGATACAACTAGTTTTGTCATTCAGTATCTCGGAATAGGCTTGGTACCGACTGGGAGTTTATGATTTCAGGTTTTGAGCTCAAATTGGTTTTTCAAGGTTTTTATTGGGGCAACGTTTCGCTTTTGACGCAGGGGCCTCTTCAGGTAGATCCAGTTGGAGTTCTAATACGGGACACGAGACGCTGTGTTCTGCAACATGAAAAGCGTCGGTTAAGAATTTATTGTTGGTTTTCCAACTTTCATTTAGTTTATTTTGGCAGGTAAAGTGAATATCGATAGCCTTCAGAAGCAACTTTCTCGTCTAACAATCAAAGTTACTTTTCCTGGTCTTAGGTAGTGAGGCACCACTTTGTGTGGTGTGACAATACTGATCTACCTCAGTTACAATTTTGTTTCAAGAAAACGCGTTGATGTACGTAAGAGTTCGATCAAGCAACGAGTGTACTAAGCCAGGTTGACGCACTGCAGCAGGGTACATTGATTAAGAGAAAATCCACACCGACAAATATACTCGACTACTCTAGCGACCATATCACCTCAGCTCGGTTTCGAAGTGCCTAGCCAAACACGGAAATACCATTTGGTATGACTTATACTATTTTAAGTAGTCGCTAAACGAAGTAAAGGTGAACGCGTAAAGTTGATGGTTAGTGTCCCCGCCTCGAATGCAAACCGCAACATCCACTTTAGCTTAAAGGCGTTTCTCTCAGTTACTGAGCAAGCACACGGTATGAGAGAGAGCAGCGTCGATTGTGGGGAGATTCAACCATGAGGATACTGAGACAGCGCCACGGTGATAAACCTAACGGCGTATAACATGTTCGACGTCAATCTTTTCCACTGTGGTTAATCACGGCTTCAAACTCCGGATGTCTACTTGACTTCAAACATGAACAACACTGGGGGTGAAGCACAGTCTCGGGAGCACAAAGCCAAGATGTCTCGCATTCGAATGCGATCACTGGCAGCGGAATTATCACGGTTCAACTCGTGATAGTACATGGCAATTCAAACACAAACCGGTACTTCAGGCCTAAAGGGGATAAACTGTTGCTGCATTAATTCTTGTCCTGATTAGCGTGCGCTGTGCGAGTCGATTAAAGGCGTTAAATATAGATAATAAATGTAGCATATCCCTAAATAAGTCAATACGATCAGCCGCCGTCACTGAGGGTCCAAAAGCTTAAGTCGCAAAATCGTAGGAACAAAGTCACGAATTTGGATCCGTCGGGAATCGACGAGTCTCAGTGGGCCGAAACGAACGTGCTGTGGCTTGTCGGATGTGTTTGATTGAACATGGCGGAAACAAAAATCCTTAGAATTCCTGCGGAGCTCAAAATGACTTGATGCACTGGTAGCTCGGGCCGATCGTTCCTGAGTTCACTTGTTCGCCGAACTTCGGAGTTGGGATGCAAACTTTTCATCACCAAGCGATGTGAGTTCGTCAGTGCGTTGCTGAGTCCAATCTAATCCGCTGACTTGTTCGTCGATTTGTGATCGATCAGCAAGTGACTTTTGAACTGGCCTCGATCTGTGCCCCGTGACCTTCACCGGTCCGCCCAACTCTGATAGATATGGGCGATCCGTGGGATGGTTTTGCCCCGGCTGTTGTTGATGCGTTGTTGATGGCTCGTTTAGCCGACCACGACGGTTTCTTCTTTTTTTAAGGTGTTTTAGTTCCCTCCGTCTTAACGTTTGGTACACTGGATCAATCTCTATGTGCATGTTTATCGAATGCTCCGTTGAGTACCATGCTTCGAGGAACTCTTCTTTTCCGTGTCTCTCCTTTTGCTAGGACTTCTGTGTTGTTCCAATCGAAGTGATGTCCTTTTTCGTCTGTATGTATTGAAATCAGTGAGAGAGCGTAATGGTTCTTGCAAGCTCTCTCATGCTCTATCAGATTTGGGCGGACCGGTGAAGGTCACGGGGCACAGATCGAGGCCAGTTCAAAAGTCACTTGCTGATCGATCACAAATCGACGAACAAGTTAGTGGATTAGATTGGACCCAGCAGCGCACTGACGAAGTCACCTCGCTTGGTGATGAAACGTTTGCATCCTGCGGAGCTGTTCAGCTTTGCTCGACGAGCAGTGCGCTCATTCTCTCATTGTATCGAGTTGAAATATTCTTTCAGGAACCGCTGAGTGGAATTCCCTTAGGGTGGGAGAGCTGAACTGGTTAAGAGCAACCTCGGGAGGCTGTAACGTATCCTACTAATGAGCATTATTTGGTGTCATCGATTAGGTCGCAGTGTGAGTTGAGCTGTCAACCGTCCGGGTGCAAAAACGGAACTGCTAGTGCTAAATCCCTGTGTAGAGTACTTTAAGTAAAGCAAATTGTAGAACATCAAAGAAAATCTTCTCTACAAATGAGCCCCTGTATTACTCATAAAATAGTTGCACATTTTCCGTCATCAGGTTCACCGATGAAGTACGAAAGTCATCCCGCGGCAGTACATTGACGAAGCATGTCCGTGCACGCGACTAGGTAATTGAGCGAGTCTACTGTGTACAACGCTCAATTCCGCGACGGGTTTTGGCCAGTCGGTTGTTAATTTTTGTGAGACTGCGCAATTACACCCTATTTACGCCATGGTAACCAAGAGAAATGAACCCCCGGGTCACCAAGGCGTCCGTTACGTAACTCACTCCAGAGAAACCCATTATCTAATCACAGAAGGCTCTGGAGTTTAGCCGACAACTTTAAACGCAGTAGTGCCATAGACAGGTCATTGAGGTGTCGAGTCATGGGAGGTGTTTCGGGAGGTCATTTAAATGCCACCCGGAATTGGTGGATCGATCATCGAAGGCGGAGTTGGTCCAAATGAGTTAGCCGCACCGAAGGTTACTGGAACTACACAGTCTATCTTTCAGGAAGATAAACGGGACATGAATGTAGGATTATCCAGTTAGGCTTTCGGGATAATTGAAGGGTGGAGGAAAAACAAACAAAAATTACAGTTTTCCTTGATATCAACATACCATCGGATCGTTGCGAGACATGGACGCGTAGTCCGGAGATAATTGCCGTCACAAAGCGCACTAATTACCATGGTTCGCTAACTGCACATCTTAGGGCGATTCGTAGGTACATTGCTCTAATGTCCACTTCCTATTTCCCTTATATCAGAGCATGAATATTCAGGGAACTCCCACGCATCCAACGAGCCGGCGGCGTTTGCTGGAATCGGAATCCACGCCCAAGTGTTATCAGGCTATTGAAAAATGCATCAAAACCACAGATTCTATGAAAGGTACATTGTTCATCAGTGAATGCAAAATAGGATTCCTTTGTATCACAAAGTATTCTCTTCACGTGTTTATATAATTTTACAATTCCTGTATTGTTGCATGGGCACAGTGAGATGACCCTAGCGGTCAGGTTTTTCCCGCGTAAGTGTGCGGTTGGCACAGTTCAGCTCACCGAAGCACTCCGATGTGTTCGTCGGTAACTGGCGAACAGTTAATGCCTAACGGATAGGATATATGTTGCTTTTCTGATGCATAATGACTGGATATTATGTAGCACTTGTGATAAATCGACAGAGTAGTAATCAATGACTATCTGGTCACCAAATGACCAAATCAATTAGTCACTCAGCGTTCTCTTGCTCGAGACACTTCTGCACATATATGGTGATCAGTGTAGATCTGTTCTAGCTGTAATACATTACATTACAAGAGAGAGTGATGTTAGCTATAAACGAATAAATGTTGTACCAGTTAGCACAAAATGCTTCATCTAACATCGTTTCTCTCTCACAGACAGTGGAATAGGGACCACTTATCTCACTGTATCATCCGGATCCTCTTCGACTAACACCAGTCCAGAATCGGAGAAAGATGCTCTAAATCAGGTAAGCCGTTTGAATCAAGGCTGCATATCCGCTTTTGCTTGTCGTACGCGCGTCATCGTTGAATGGTCATTTGTCAGAAGTGGTATCATAGCAGGAACGACTCATTGTTTCTAACCCACTCCGTTACCGACCATTTTTCACCGTAGATGCAAGATCATTCATTGTCTACCTCGGGGATAAGCACCAACCATATGATAGTTATTCAGTTTCTAGGACCGACACGCCTCGTTAGCCCAACGATGGCATGACACCAGAATAACCACCCCCTAGCATACACTTAATACCTATCTTGTGATTTTACTCAATCAGTTTACTCCATCATCCCATTTCAACTTCAGAATGGAAAGTCAACAAAGTCGCTAGATGTTGCAGAAATCGACGCAACGTCTACTCCAGCCACTGTGCGTACGCCTGCGCGCACCGACGAAGTCACCATCTGCGACGTGGAAGGAGTTCGATCACCACTAGAAAATGGCCAGAAATGTTTCTTTCTTGAGACAGACCATTTCAGAGCTACACCTATTACGGTTAGGAAACGCGAGGCAGTTGACAAGGTGCCAACCACGCCGGGCAAGTCGAGCGGACTGAGGATCACTGCCTCGAAGATAATGACCGAGCCGACTGTAACTGATGATCAAACGGCGGTGGGAGAGGAGACACGACGCCGCCAACGACGAATGCATGACTGCAGTTTCTGTGGGAAACAATTTGACCGACCATCGTTGCTCAAGCGCCACACGCTAACCCACACAGGTAAGGCAGGTTAAACTGTTCGCATGGTGTCATCCCATCTGTTCAGCGTTGACCGATCTGACTACGCTATTCTCATCCTTTTGTTGATAAACTGCATTGCTTATTGCAGGAGAACGACCCTTCGCTTGCCGGTTTTGCTCCAAGGGATTCTCCACTCGAAGCGGGGTGAACACTCATGAGCGAACACACACGGGTCAGCGGCCGTACGTGTGCACAACTTGTGGACGCCGCTTCGCTGCTGGCTCCAACCTTATATTTCACAAATACACACACAGCAATGTGAGTTTACGGTGTCTAGTCCGTCTGTCTCATTGATAATGTGATTGCGATGCTGACAAATACTATAATAGATCATCTATGTTGGTATCCGCAGACCCGTCGGCATCAATGCGCCCAGTGCCCAAAGGCATTCGTGACACCTGGTGATTTGAGGAAACACGAATACACACATACGGACAAATGGCCATTCCGATGCACGACATGCGATCGAGGGTTCGCTACAGAACGTAACCTCAGATCACACGAAGTCACCCATACAGGTAAGGAGTACGGATCTATCAAAACACATCAGAACATGTCACATTTTCCAAGATATCGAACATCATTAGCCGGTGAAGTCTCACGAATAGTAGTTGACAAACAGCTGAATGTAACTGCGGATCGCTAGCTCTACACGCACTGTGCCGTCGTTCTTCCTAAATGGTCCATCAACAACCTACCACTGTATGCGTATATAGTGTCTACTGAGTAACCATGGCGGCGGTAGGGGATGATAAGATTCAATACTACCGGATGGAGAAATTTTTCCGCACTGGCTTGCGTTCTCAGCAACTAGTGAAGCAGTGGTATGAGGACCTAGATAAATTAAGCGGATTTCCTCACGAATAGACGCATTTTGATCACATCATCGGTAGCAAGAGCAACGAACGCTCACAATGAGCGCATCCCCTCGAATCAGGAAAGTGCTAAAACCGTAACTCAACTCTAGCAAATGGCGTGGAAATCTCCGAGATCCTCTGAATTGTCATTCCGTCCGATTGTTAAGCAATTGTTGAACGCAAGAAAAAGTATGATTTCGTAGAAGCGTTACCAGGTTTATTGCTCTTTACTTCGCCTTTCTCTACTACTCACCAGTTGGGATATACACTATATCACACAAACAGGTCAGGATTCTCCAAGTAATTTCATACGACCGTTTGTTAGTCATAAGTTTACTGGGTTTTAAGTCTCATCTCGACTGTTCACAGACATCTGGACTACCGCACTAAACTCATCGCATCTCAGTACTCACCGGTCAGTTCATTGAAGAGGCATCGAGGTCTGGGTTATCGAGCTTTGCGCGGTTAGAACCTAAATAGTAGCATCGGTGGACAAGACAAGCACAGCCTCAGTGGGCAACGCGATGTTTTCGCCTCGGTTGCCGCTATAGTTGCAATCCTGCCTCAATTCGAGGGTCGAGAACCATCATCAAGTGTGCTATATGGCACATTTTCACAGTAATGAAATCTCGGTGCACATCACACAAACACACGAAACGAGTACACTTAGTTGAACATATTACAGCTGTAGCTTGGGGCTTTTGCTTACAGTTGCTGCATGAGCAGTGGCTGATCCAGCTAACTCTGCTCTTCTCATCTATTACACGCAAGAAGATTAGTTACTCCAAGGCGTTCCGTAGCTTCGGCTGACTTCTTTGGTTTCCTCGCTGCTATGTTACAGCCTAGTTGTGACGGAGCTTTGCTCAGACCAGGTAAACCGACGTAACGAACGTGCTCGAAATAACGCGACTCTACCTGCATACGTGATGTGGGCATATTAGGTACTTCAGTAGTGTCAAGTGATTGATTCCAAGCGCTACTCAGTGTACCCCACTTTAACTCTACCGTGTCGGTCCCACCAGATGTACGCGATGCAATCCAATCGTAGGTGCCGAATCCGCAGAAACCGTTTTGCTAGATGCTGTAAAATATTGACCAGGGCACAATCATATGCATTTTGCATTGAACTGCCACACTGATGTTTGGAGACCCAGAGAGTGTTTGATGCTTTGAACTAATACACAACGCTTTTCGATTGGACCACGACCAGCAACGGAACTTTCGCATCAATATTCTGTGGAAATGTGCAATTCCTTTATGCTGGTGACACTTATTGGGTAAAGATCCATTGTTGAATTTGTGAACTAGTGTTCCGGGTCACGATGGAAGCGGGTAGTCGATTTGCCTAGATAACCAGTTGTGAAAAATCACGGACAACTCTCCATTGAGTGACACGTCAAACACCTCAGGTAATGACTACTAAAATTAAGGTCGTCAATCATTCGATGATGTTTTAAATATATTGCATAGAGGTGCGTTTTCAATAGTGCTAGATTCCATGCAACCATTTTCCTCAGGAACTTCAAAAGTGCAAGAAAGAACATTTCATCGGATTTGCCGACGCACATTAGAAGTCTCAGTAAATTTTTCATGAGTGGAGTAAATGTTAGGGAGCTGTTAGATTTCCCCTCACAGCAATTTGAAAAACACCTTTGATAGGTGCTAGCCGATTAGCAAAAGTTGACCAACGAATTAAGGAGATATTTATTCGTTTTCAGTTGTACATACGGGCCAGGACAGATGGAATAGGCGATTTGTTTGTTATGTGTGTGAGGCGGACGTGGTTGGCATTATTTAGCCGGCTCAGGCGTTTTGGTTCGACTGTACGCTTGGCGTATGCAAGAAGAAAAAGGAAAGCGAAACACTGGAAATATGAATAAAGATGTTGGAAACAAAATAGGTTAGCCTCTCCCTGCCGCCTGACATGTTTGCCGAGTACGAAAAAAGCGAATGGTAAAAGTGAATAAATATGGATAGATACAGTCAGTTTCTCTCCCAGCTCACACTTTTTGATATGGCTGTGAGGTAGGCGTGGCTGAGTAAGCAACATTTGAAGAATGGAAATGAAATGGTTAGCTCAATCTCAGTTGGTAATTCCTTTGCAATCCACATTCATTGGTGTATCTGTGAGGTATACCTTTCAGAGTAAAGTAGGTCGGGTAAAGAAGAGGATTTGGTCAACTTTTCATCTTCCTTTCAACGCACCTATTCAGGAGGGGTTGGCCAAATGATGACACCATACGTAGCACATTTCATGCCTGTTTGTAATCAGCACATCTATGTCTCGGCCCAATCCACACATAGCATTTTCATCGTAATTCAGTTGCGAAATTGTTCTTATGCATTGTTGTTAGGCTGACAGAATCCGAAAACACAGATTCGTAGTAGATGTTGGCATAAGATAGAGTAAGCGATTTCCGGAATTTTAGTGCTGCCTGTGGTTTCAGTGTCAATTGTATAGCGTAATACTTCAACAACCCTGGCTTATGGGAATTGGGTGTTGCCCAGCCGAAACTACTGTACCCCACTACGCGTTTCAATCTGGTTTGATCACATCAGGTAGAGACAAGAGGCCTCGAACCCGGGACCATTGGGAGATGTTAGTCGAAAGTTCTACCCCTTTAACCACCAGGTCACGACGGCCAACGCTTGGCACATCGGCGAATGACTGATTGGAGGGTCACTTTGAGGTACTCGGTGTGTGATTGGATTGCGACGCGCAATCTCAATGTAAACCGTGATTCGCATTGAAGCAAACCATGGCAAATTCGATCACTAGGACCGTAGCTGAAGCGTATCACGGTCCACATTGAGTGCGCGTCGCAATCCAATCTCACAACGAGTACCTTAAAATGACCAACCCTTTCTTAGTTTGGTCAAACAAGGCCGCATAATTTTGCATAATCCCGGAGAGTTGCAGATGGGGTTCCAGCGTTGACGTTTAACACCATAGCCGGCAAATATGTTTGGGCCGGGTCCCCAGAAACGTACATTCGGATGCAATCAGTTGAGCCGCGGTAGGATATGCGTGCAAGAAAAGTACACACTACATTTACCAACTGTTCAGTGTAAGATCGTATGGCAGACAGGCCAACAGCCGCAATACACACAAGTGACAAGTGCTTGGCACAGTGTATCAAATGTACTGCCAGGCAGTTAGAAACCGCAATTCAAATGTTCTAATTTCAGCAGGGAGCCGGTTCAAAATTTCAGTAGGTCCGTTTAGGTAGAAGATTCTTCGAATCTTGGTTTTCATTTTGAACACCGGGAGTGTGTATTTGAGATTCCTAATTGCGTATTCCACTTTTGTTTCAAGTGATATTTGGTGCGAATACACGACTAAGTCAAAAAGGAAAGTTGGTCCTAGCTTCAAGGGTGTTAGCCACAGTGGCTTCCGTTGTACCAACGCACAGCGTAGTTGAGTTTGGACAATGGGTTGATTGAGGGATTGTGAATGAGTGCTACACATTTTTTAAGTACACCCGGTCGCATTTCCTGCCGCTTGTAAAAATTACCGAACAGTACTCTAACACGGCGAATGCAGACCTTAAACAAGTTTAAGTTAGGTCCACGCATCGAGAATGATTTTAGGATGAGATCTGCACTACTTGTGATCTGGCCATTAGGAATTCAACTTGATCAGCAAAATAGTACTAGAGTAATGGATGCCTAGATCACCTAGTACACTCGGTGTGATCGCATCCAACCTACGTAGGGATGTTTGCGGTAGTTATCCGAGTATATCGATACGTTGGTTTATTACCCTGGTGCTGCTGAGTTAGTGGCAACCCTTGCTGAGGATTTGTATGTCGAGTTCATGATATCCAGTTAGATACACGTCACAGTCCACATCTAGTAAGCTTCCTGCTATGACCAATAGCCAAAAAGTCACTGTAATTAGATAACTTTCCTGATTTACCATATTTTGTGTTGCAGGACAAAAGCCCTTTAAATGCCCAGTTTGTTCGAAGACGTATGCCCAAGAGAGTTCAATGAAAACGCACCTCCGGACGCATCAACGTGAGTGGTAACTTGAAAGTTGACTATACTGTTTACTACTCACAAGTAGCCCAACTGTACGAGAAAATCAAAGGTAGTTGCATAGAACTAAGCATGTGCAGGCATTGGGAAGCTGTTCCAATCCTTTTGCAGTAGTGAACCAGATTCAGACCTATGAATTCACCAAATATTCCGTCTTACATCTGGTTAGGTACTTTGGGACCAGATGGTGTATTGGAAAGAGAAAATTTGCTTGGCACAAGTTGGTTTTCATCACAAATTCGTAGATGAAAGTTCCGAGAGCCAAGAGTAAATCACACCCACAGGCCCACCTCGCGGAATGACGTGCGTAGTTAGTACCAAATGGACTACTTTGTGTTTTTAGACTGCGTGTGCCACTATACTGATTGTTAGCAAACCTATTCATTATCGCGTCGGTGGCTACGTCCACGACTTCTGCTAGACGGCCATTCGAACGCAAGTTAGCTGACGATATGATGTTCGTCTAATTCCATAACCAAACCTTCTAACTTACGACAGGATCACTATCCGAGGATGGAGATAATGGAATGAGGGTGTCGCCCGCTGCCACGAAATCTACACCTGATGATGAGACGGCTGAAACCCTGGTGATGCCTCCACCGAGGGTTAACAGAGGAGAACAAAGACAAACGGGTCACTTACCACACAGTGCACCCACACATCACTCGACATTCATCGTATCTCAAAGGCTATATAGTGCGGATACCAGTGGGACCCCGTGCGTGCTTAGCCCGGCCTCACGGGCAGCACCATCTGCGTTTACAGTACCACCGCAGAGACAAACGATGAGACAGATAGCGACCCCTACCGATGTGAGCCAAGAGATACAAAGGTTCTACGAGCGGTATATGGCATACTACGCAATGTATATGGATGCGCTAGTTGGTCAGACTATGCAACAACCTCAGGATCCGGCCGTTTGCACAATGACTCGGCGGTCTATTACGTACCCGACCGTATTTTCGCCTTGGACCGATGCAAGACAACAACCTGCTAGTTATTTGGAACCCAGAGCGAGCGCCCATGGCCAGGTAAGAGTTCCGCTCACGCCGCAACCAATAGACTCCGCAGGTACGCCCCAAACGAGCTCTTGCCTCGAAATAACAACCCCGTCCGCGTCCAATGACGCATGCAATGATCCACAACAAGCTCCCGAGATCGATCCTACTATGCAACTATACGCGCTGGATTTTTCACTTAAGGGCAAAAAAGCATGAAATGGTTTTGACTGCGCCAACTCCATCTGTGATAAATCAACCCCTCGCGAAGAATATCACTTTCTTATTGTACATATCCCCTATCGCATTCACAATTTGGATATCGTTCTGATTGATCGAATGACGCTTGTGCGTCGAATGTACATAAACTTATAAAAGAAGTGTTGACTTTGACGGAAAAAGGTGGCTTAGTGTTGGTGCGTAAAGTATTCCTTTTAATAAGGGCACGATACTATAAGGAATGCAATGGACTAATGTTCCAATTGCAGGAAACGTAACCGCCTGTAAATCAATGAATCTTAGTTGAAAGTAAGTAATACGGGATCACAAACCACACTAAAACAAGTTGTCAGTAGGAAGGACAGCTGCTATCGGGAATGTGCATCGTTGTGCCGCGTAGGCTTACCGACATCAAATGTGAAGGCATCAGCAGTACGCATAAATCTACGGCACGATAGCCGACTGCTAACTCTCCGGAACGATGTCCATCCGTTACAGGGGACTCAGCCGGCGTGCCACTGTTGCATTTTTTTCTTATGTTTAATATTGCGGCACAACAGCTGAGATGTTTTCCACCTGCAGCTAACGTGTATAATGATGATCAGCAGTACGCCGGTACGCAGTACCGCCGCTTCGCTGCCGCGCAACCGCCACCAGTCGCACCTGGGCTATTGACACTGCGAGGGTGGGCCTGTCCATACGCAGGCTTGAACACGCGCCGCCAGGTTACAAAGCAAGCTTGTTACCGAAGCAGATGTTGGTAGCTCAGGTTGTTCAGTTGATGGTCTGAGTGTTCGCTGAGCTTGACAGTTTGGCTGCAAACGTTTCGTCACTACCCGAGATGACATTGTCAGTGCACGTTTATGTCGCAGAGCTGCGAGGTACGAAGCGTCAGTGAGTGTGAGTGATCGATCTTCTAGCCGTCAGTCTGAGTTTGGATCTTCAGGAATTTCAAAAGAGCAAGAAGAAACCACATTTTAACAGGATATACTGAATTCAGTAATTTTGAGTGTTCTCAGCTGTTTACAAACAATTTGTGGAAAAAGGCTACATAGCAAGGAAGATCAAATTGCAATGTTATCGGCGAAAATTTAAAGCGGTCGAAAATCGGTGAGTTCACGTGACCCGGTCGGAGAAAAGATGACACTAGCCTCACCAGGCTAGAACGAGGGTGATCACGAAGTCCGTTTGTTTGAACAAACTTGGTTTCAACCGGCGAATCACCGAGGTCTCAGCGAAATGAAGTAGACGGGGACTATTTTGTTTGTTGATTACCTTAAACCCACCACGTGGGTTTCCGAATACAGGACAATCAAGTACGTGGCATGCAATAGAGCTATTGGTCAGTCTCGGGCCATTTGTGAACATGTACCGAGGGACGTGTTCTGCAATCCTCGCTGACAGCTCTCAGTTCTGCCAACGTACTTGCTACCGCAAGTACAGGGAAAAAGGTAAACGCACGAGGCAATAACTTGAGAGTCCGGTCTGTCCAGGTTGGATATGCACAGCAGCCTTCTGACTTGGTACAGTGCCACTAGCTCAGCCGCGTAATAGCACTTCTTGATAGATTGATAAAGATATTGCCGACATCTTCTGTCCATTTGGTCTCCTTTAAACGGCAGCTTAATAAATACCTTATTCTTCGGAACATCTGTTGATGGTTTATCTTTCAGTTGTAAGCTCGCGTACCGTGCTATAAATCGCTTGGGATATCCATTCTTTGTAGTGTCGAGGTGACGCGTTCCAGTTCAGATTCTATAGTCTCCGGAGAGCAAATTTGACAAAGTCTAGCAAAAGCCGTACGGACTAAAGCTCGCTTGTAGTTCATAGGGCAAAAGCTATTAAAGTTCAGGTACTGTCCCGTCCATGTTGATTTTCTGTTCACAGACCGAACGAGTGTACCGTCTAGCTTTCTCTGTAACCTGACGTCCAGGAAATGGAAGGATCCATCAGATTCATTTTCCATCGTGAATTTGATCGCGGGATGGCATTTATTCATCATTTCCAATAGGTAAGCCGTCTGCTGAGGGGTGTCAACAACCACGAAGGTCTCGTCCATATACGGGCCGTGAAAGTGCACATTCTGTATATAAGAATGTAGTACGGTGTTTTCCAAGTGGCCCATAAAGACATCAGCCAAAACTTGGCCTAATGGACTGCCCATGGCGACGCCGTCGATACAGGGTTCCATTGAAGCGGAACTGGATATTTTTCGTGCCTTGAGTTGGGACGCTGGGATTTCGACTTTATCAGCATGCCTGGCTATTAGATCTAACGTTTCTTCCAAAGGGACATTTGTGAATAACGAGCACACACCAAAGGAGACCATATGTTTCCCTATTACGTTTAAATTACATATCTTGTTGACAAATTCAGGTGTATCTCTTATGCTGTACCGAGACAGTCCCTTCCAGATGGGCTCGATGAGTTTGCTAGGCATCGGGCTAGTATTTGGTATGGTGCGTCTACCATTGAGACGAAATTACTGAATTCAGTATATCCTGTTAAAATGTGGTTTCTTCTTGCTCTTTTGAGTTTGGATCCTTTGACGGGCACATGACCATCGAAATCGATCTCTGATTCTTGCCCTGTAGCGTACGCGCACGTGCCTCTTCGGTTGTCGTCGTTTGACGCATTTGTCCGGCGTTCTGTTCCGTTAGGTCTAGTCCGCTAATTCGGTGATCTTTCATCCGTAGCTTTGCATACATAGCATCTATGTTAAGGCGTTGGTTTATTGAATTGTCTGTAGAATACCATGCTTCCAAGAACTCTAACTTGCCTCGAATTTCCACGGGCTAGGATTTTTACGTTCTTTAGGTTGAAGTGGTGGCCTTCTTGGTCTTCATGCATGAAAACCAGTGAATGCGGGTCGTGTCTCCGTATGGCCATACTGTGTTCGTTGATCCGTATTGATAGTTTCTTTCCAGTTTGTCCGATGTTGTGTTTGTCACACTTTGCAGTTAATTTTGTAGATGACATCATTCTGATTGTCTTGTTTGACCGTCTTTCGGTATTGAAAGTAATCTTCTCAAGGCACCAGTTGGTTTGTGGCCTACCAAGATTCCATGCGGTCGTAGCAATCTCGACAGCCGAAGAGGCACGCGCGCGTACGCTACGAGGCAAGAATCAGAGATCGACTTCGATGGTCATGTGCCCGTCGAACGATCCAAACTCAGATTGACGGTTAGAACATCGATCGCTCACGCTCACTGACGCTTCGTACCGCGCCGCTCTGCGATATAAATGCGCACTGACGATGTCACCTCGGGTGGTGAAACGTTTGCAGCCAAACTGCCGAGCACAATGAACATGCAGACCACCAAGCTTGTTACCTTTAGGCTACGGGCCGGCCCAAGTGGCAAGGTGGTGTGAGAAGTTGCTGATTGCGGATCACAGCCATCGTTACGGAGGATTCGAGGTTTGAATAAATCTGTGTTCCAACATTGGATACGTTCTAGTCAGTGACACAAAGGTGTAACCAGTTTGGCGAAAACGTTTCTCGCCGAAATCTACCCAACCCGCAGCATAACCTTTGTTTCTTATTAGATGGATCTTTTCTGGTGAGCTAACACATTGCTTTGTGCAAAATATGGACGCTGAGTGTAGGCTATTGCGATTTGGAGACAAAGGCGAAAGCACTAGAGCCACTAGCACTCTCTAATCGCGTGGTGTCGTGAGGAACTGTTTGGATTTGGAAATCGGGGCTAAACTATACATGGAGGAGTTTCAAGACCAGAAAACAGTTCAGGGTTAAGATATCTTTTCGGTAAAATCTCGTCAGACCCAAACTTTTACATGACACGGATTATGTGTGGTAAGCGTCAAATCGGGCTGGAATTGATTTCTAAGGTGTTTGAAAGGTCAAGATCGATGACTAAATGTGACTGCAGATGGTAGGAAAAGTGCATCAAAGGAAATTAATACAAGCTTCAGGGCCTAAAGTAAATAGCTAAGGTCACCAAGGGTAGTTAAGTAACCATGTCAGTCGGCCAAGGTAGTAGTATCGGCCGTATGAATCGTTTGTGTACGCATAATTCCGGCTTCAGATGATGGATGTAAATAGCCTCGGCGATAGACAAGATTTGCTTTCGGAAGCCTTGCGATAAGCGTTCAGGTAGTGAGTAGATGACTTTAAAGTCATTCTCAGATGCATTATGGCCACTTTCGAGGAGGTGCGACATGATTGAGCTGTCTGAGGCGCTCATTTCGCCTTTGTAAAACCACGCCGGGATGTGCTCGCGAATCCTCTGGGATAGACGTCTCGTTGTGCGACCCACGTATCGTGCACCACAAGAGCACGAGTACTGACAAACGAACATTGAACGGGTCAACGATGGCAGACTATTTTTCAAGGGTTTTGCAAGCAATGGCTTGTTGTGGTAAACAATTCTTAGGCGGGCTGTGAAATAAGTTTTCACAACAGCTTCTTTCAAAAGTCGAGATAGGATATCAGCTGCAGTATCACCCTTAAATGGTAAATGTATGAACGGCTCTTTCTTGGGAGCAATGCTTCTAGGTGGCTTTCGCTTGCGTTCTTTCATATGCTTCATGATAAACTTATCGGGGTAACCATTCTCACGAAGGGCGTCGCTGATTCTCTGTAGCTCTTCGTTGACGGTATCCGGAGTGCAAATACTGCGCGCCTTGAAGGCAAGAGATCGGATTAAACTCCTGATACCGTCAACGAAGAGCTACAGAGAATCAGCGACGCCCTTCGTGAGAATGGTTACCCCGATAAGTTTATCATGAAGCATATGAAAGAACGCAAGCGAAAGCCACCTAGAAGCATTGCTCCCAAGAAAGAGCCGTTCATACATTTACCATTTAAGGGTGATACTGCAGCTGATATCCTATCTCGACTTTTGAAAGAAGCTGTTGTGAAAACTTATTTCACAGCCCGCCTAAGAATTGTTTACCACAACAAGCCATTGCTTGCAAAACCCTTGAAAAATAGTCTGCCATCGTTGACCCGTTCAATGTTCGTTTGTCAGTACTCGTGCTCTTGTGGTGCACGATACGTGGGTCGCACAACGAGACGTCTATCCCAGAGGATTCGCGAGCACATCCCGGCGTGGTTTTACAAAGGCGAAATGAGCGCCTCAGACAGCTCAATCATGTCGCACCTCCTCGAAAGTGGCCATACTGCATCTGAGAATGACTTTAAAGTCATCTACTCACTACCTGAACGCTTATCGCAAGGCTTCCGAAAGCAAATCTTGTCTATCGCCGAGGCTATTTACATCCATCATCTGAAGCCGGAATTATGCGTACACAAACGATTCATACGGCCGATACTACTACCTTGGCCGACTGACATGGTTACTTAACTACCCTTGGTGACCTTAGCTATTTACTTTAGGCCCTGAAGCTTGTATTAATTTCCTTTGATGCACTTTTCCTACCATCTGCAGTCACATTTAGTCATCGATCTTGACCTTTCAAACACCTTAGAAATCAATTCCAGCCCGATTTGACGCTTACCACACATAATCCGTGTCATGTAAAAGTTTGGGTCTGACGAGATTTTACCGAAAAGATATCTTAACCCTGAACTGTTTTCTGGTCTTGATTCATCTGATTACAATGGGAATATTTGCTGTGTTGAAAATCAGCATTGCCCGTGATTCGAACGAGGAGTTTGTCAACTAGGCATGTGCTTAGGACTTCTCTAATGTGTCGCAACGTTATAAAAAGCAGCTGAGGTGTATGGGACGCAGGACAATGTGCGCGCAGGCTTTCTTAAGCGTTCAATGCAAGCAAACACTACGTGTACCATTGGTTAGGAGAATTACGATGAGCCCATTTATCACAATGTTTTAATCGACTACAAGATGTGGTGGAATTCACTACGACGTAGCGTCGTATTCGAGCGTATGAACCACCAAAGTGCCAAACCCGGTGGTGAGGGCAGAACAAAAGTATGAAGTAGGATATCCATCCCGCTGTCAAGCAGACAGTAGGGCAGGAAAGCTAGATCACTCGACGTAGTCAACTGCATACAAGTTGTAACCCCGTAAAGTGACACGATTCAGTTTATTGGATGCGATAGTTCCACCTTTCAGCTTATGCTGAAAACCTAAGAAGTGCATGTTCCCTCAATGGCACCACCACCTTTTAGCACGTTCCAAATCTACCATACGATTAGCCGTTTGGCTCACTTCAGCGGCTGCGAGGAAAGAGACATATGTGAATAGAACTAACTTTTCAGATTTGCGGGACCATAAATATTATCGATTAGAGTGGTTAGCATATATGGCGATAGGACATTTCCTACTTTATGAGTTTATACGTCTCCAAGCTAAAAGATAATCGTTATCAGGTATGATAAATAAAAACCTAAAGATCAGAATGTATATACATACCTTGGTACTTATGAAAGCACAGCCGTCCATCAATTACGAAGTTACTAAGCCCACCGAACTCACGGTGAAGCACATCACGGGAAGACAAGGAGATTAAAGTAATGAGTGCCGGACCCCGACAAACTCACTTTGCGGGAATTGGAACGCAGTAGTCCCTAAACGTAGGTTCCTTTCAAGTTACGTCGGAGTAAAGGTCCATTTATTTATACCGCTTTCTTTATCGTTGCTGACTGTTATCACCAAGGTGAAGTGAGTCTAGGTAAGTGGGTCTAACGCACTTCGGTGTAGTGCAGGGGGCACATATTTTTGTGCGAACTGACTGTCAATGTCACCCTCGGCTTGGTCGAAGGGGAGAGGGTTCGACCATGACATGAGGCAACGGGGACCGCGCTATCATGGCATGAAGGCGATAGCTTTCGAGTCCAAGGTCAACCCCCACTATTTATACTCCACAATAAATCCATCTTCATTAACATAGCGGAAACAAAGTTCTGCTTTTGCTGATCGTAACTGCATGGTTATAAGTGTAGTAATAGTTTTGTTGCCCCGTACCATGTGTTGCAACCGTGCAACGCACGCATCATAAGCGAACGTGGCAAAGGTAAAAAAGCAACCATTTCAAGAAAAGTAGATTGGTGGATGGACTCAAAGATGCTCAAGTACAAAGATCATAAGAGAAGTGTTAGGTGCAACATCTGATCTGTCACTTTTTACAAGTGGTCTCGGGGAAGGCAGCCTTTAGAATAGACTCTATGGAGGTCAACTTTTCGCGGGGTTTGCCAAGTGCTTTGCCAGCGGCTTTCTCCATTGCGTCCACCCGCTCCCAGTCCGAAAAGGAGATAGTGAGGACACCTTGAAAGAGGGGCGAGATGCAAAACAGAGAGGTGTGATTGGAAAGCAGCGAATGGGCAAAAGTGGAGTCGGATCTGATTAACAGAACTGCAAGTGAAATACTCTGCATATTTCGTGTCAAGCATCAAAAAGCCTCGGAGACCGATTTCCTTGAGTAAACGTCAGTGGAGAGTGGTTTCCCCTCAGTTTGAGCAAGCGCGTTTTCGATACCTACTCGCACTGTGTTAGTGAACGCGCCACTGGATGAAACCATGTATTCTATGGGAACGGCCTCACGCATGACTTTATGCCCGAGACAACATGAGCATAACTCGACGTAGCAAAAATCGGAGAACGTGGTTCTATGAGAATGAGCTCAAGTGCATAGAAGTGGTAGTCCGAATGCTACTCAACGCTGGGCTAGAGTACTTTCAGTGGTCTGTACGCCAGCTTAGTGAATAAGGTAAGATTAACAGTGAGACGGTTAGCAGCGGACATGTCGATGATTAAGTGCAAGGCAATGGTTCGCAAAGGTGGTTCCAAAGTAACCACAGTGGTGCGGATAAACAAAGCATCACGTTCGTGTTTTAAAACGTGGGTGGTTGTGCACAAATGAACATTAAATATGAAATTTAGTAAGACCCAAGTACGATTCGGTAGTGAGAAAGGATGAAGAATCGCAAAATTGTGAATATTTAACTCTAAAAGACGGTGAATAGAAAAGAATATTAATGCGCATATTTCTCGGATGTGTCGGAGGTTGTACCTGAAATAAGGACAGATCATCGGTACAATTATGATCGTGTCTTTCTACGAGTTAGATCAGTACTCAGTAGCGTTTTTCGAAACATGCCGTTTTCGTTGATTCGGGGTTTCGTATAAGTCTCTTCCCACTAGCTATATGTTTTTGGTGCATTCTGAAAGAACTCATTCGGCGATTTTACTGCTGAAAACATGACAAATATGGAGTTCTGGTGCAGGAAATTTCAAAGTTTAAGGCGAGGTGCTTTTGCATTCGGATAAGACCCGACACTGGCTCGTATGCTATTCACGAGACAGCGTACCTGCGGCTACGAACGTAGAGCCGGAACATCTCGGTATAGTTTGTGGATAAGGAAGGATCGGTGAAGTATGGATTAGACGCAATGTGCGTATTGGTATGACAGCAGCAGGAAATCCGTGTGAATGGACTGTCGTAAGAACCCGAGGTGCAAGTGGAGTTGCTTAGTTTCGAACACAGCTTATACTAGGTGCATCAGTTCTGACCAAGGAAATATCCACTCCTATTCGAGGTACTTATTGGAGGTTGCATGGCGCAGGTTCATTTCTGTGTCTAATGGTTGTATCATGTGCATCGCTTATGCGTCCATTCCTCGTGCGCATACAACTGTGGTTCCAAAGTGTTCCTTTCCTTTGGAGGAGTCATTACGGCCTGCTGTTTGCTTGTTGCTGTTTCGCATCCTGGCAATTCCACACTACTGATAACTGGTGTAGTAGCGTCTGCCTTTAGTTCGCCATAGCCTGTCACTGCCGATATAACAACTTTGAAAAAATAACTGACCATATATCAAGTATATTCAAAATCACTGTCGCATACTCCGGAGACAAACCAACCATCGATTTTTAATGCATATCGTTATGCAAGCTGTTTGAATGAACAGCATGACTGCTCAACCATGATCGATTACCATCACGGCTAACTACATACTTGCAAACAGTAGTCACAGAAAAGGACCAAAAATAGAGCGGACAACGTCGCACTGCAACCAGCGTATCAGACAGTCATTGGACGTTGGGTTAATGAACAGACTGACTTGACAACAACCTGGTAAAACAGTCGCAAATGCAAACGTAGCCATGTGGAAAGAACGCTGAATGTTGACAGGATTGCCCATTGGTTTACAAAACATGCCGACAGGTGGCAGAAAGGACAAGGTGTCTTCTGTCTTGGAACCCGGACGTCGCCGGTTCGGTCCTGCATATAGGGACGGGAGACCCTCGCAGTATCCTTAACCCATGCGCGGCTGGTGATGGTTGCGTGGCAGTGAAGCGTCGGTACGGTGTACTACCGATGCCTTGTGTTTACAAAACATGACATGTAATGCAGTATCCCTAATAAAACTAATATCGGTTTATCCGCTTACGCTAAGCATCATTCTACGCAAAACAATTCTTGCTTTAATGCTCTAGTAATTCCTTTTCGGTTACGGGAGGTTCCATTTACTTTTAAATCTTCTTGTCGCGTTATTCGTCATGAATTTGTTACTTGTCGTTTCGATGTTTGCTCAAATTCCGAGAACAGTTACCGAACCTGGACCTCCTTGGATACCCCTCCTATTTGTACACCTTTAATATTGATAAGTAATAGTGAGAATTTTGATATAAGTCAGCTAATTCATCATAGTCATTCTCAATCAGCAGGCTTAGGTTAGTCTGGAAAAGCATCAGACGCCGGCGTTTCGACCTTCTGGGTCTCGTCAGTGGTGCGCATCCCAGCGGACCCCCGCCTAGTTCCGCCCCTATGGCTTCAGGGTGCCAGCAGCTAGTGCCACTACGCCATGGGTGACAGCTGCGGATCTGCGCGATTGACAGTTTACTATGACATAGCCCGGCTCATCTTCCACTGTCATACCAGAGGACAGTGGGTATCCTCACGAGCTAGGACTCTCCGCATAGCGCCTATGTACCACATAGGACTTAGAAGCTATACGGACAGATTTTATAGTACTGTTTGGGTATTAAAATTTTTTAATACCTGGTGCTTAGTTAATCGGGGTCTAGTTGCGGAGGAGTAGGTGATTGCCAGTATTAGCCGTTCAGACTGCTGGTATGTTGAGTACCGCAAGCCCAAATACACGGCGAGCAACTAATCAGTTCGGTGTGTGTGTGTGTGTGGAGGGGAAAAACTGGTTCTCCACTTGTTGCTCTGTAACAACCCCAGTCACTAAACGGGAACGCCTTTTAGGTCTGAAACTTTCAAGTTGGTGTGGTCACGTTTTTCGAGTGTCTATCGCCTCCATCGCGCATGGTTGAATAACGCATCAAGACTATGGGTCGTCGAACTGGTGCAAAGGTAGAAGGAACTGATGGGGGACGTGGTCGGGGTAATGCATATCATCTTCCAAGAAGAGACTTAGGGAATCGGCCAAATCAGTAGTCAGATGTTATCCAAAGCAACAAAGCGAAGGAAGCAATGGCATCTTCGCACTTGGCTCCGCGCATCTATCTTTCAAGCTTCCACACCACTGTTAGCGCATACAGCATTGCGACACAAATTATGAAAACTGGAACCGTCGCGCTTTAGTGCGCAGAACTAGATTGAACAAAGGCGAAAGGCCCTAATGCGTAGTAAACAGTGTGCGCCAAAACCCTGTTCTAGAAAGAATAGCTTAACGATGAGATGAGAGTTCCACCGAAAGACTGATGTCCGGTTTAGGGAGAATCGGGAGTGTGAAGATGTAGCTTTGTTTTAAGGCACAGGTTAGTCGCCGATTAGTCGGAATCTGATCGACCCAATGTTTTAACAAACGAGGTGACATTAACGGTGCTAGAAAGTTGATTGCCACGTAGGCTGTTAGAGCCAGGGTAAGCCTAACCGAATCACAATCGCATACAACTCAACTATGTTCAACCATGATCGAATGCGGCTGAACTATGTTTACGCCAAGAGTACAACGAACCAAGCTCAATCGGTGGTGGGGATTTACTTCCGGGGTGGAAGACAACTCTAATCTCTTTGCCTCCTCATATAAATAACTGATGTGTCTGAGTAAGGCGACGCAAAACACGGGATGTCCTCTCCAAGCTATGTTCTCATTGTCTGCAAGGAGGCGAACGGAGCGGGCAAGATCTAATTTGAGAAGTCCGTTAGTGGAGTGTTCAATCGCAGGCTAAAACGCAGACGATGTTGGTACATATAAGATAAAGGAACGGATGTGGCTTGTTTATATACGCATCTGATGCCAATAACTTTATTTTGACAGCATATCTGTTGTGTTACACAGTTGTATTGCGTAGTTTCTAGTGGCTACAAAAATATCATTTGGAAGTAGATGGGAATTTCACGATTCGATTGGTGCAACAAGTGCAAACTCAGCAATCTGGGTTTACGCCGACTGCTCTGTTTATTGTTTCGGCACCAGACAGATCTGTTTCAAACTGCGGTTTTCAATTAGTTGGATCCTTCAGTGGCGGTGAGCAGCGCACGGGGTCAAGGTAGATGCGCATGTTGATGGAATTCTTCGAGGAGAATAGAGCTCCGAGAAACACATTCTGCATGGCTTTCTCTGAATCGTGATCGCTGTTTTGTTCCAATCGAAGCTGTACCCTACTTTGTCCACGTGTATTGGGATTAGTGGCGTTGCATAGCAGCTCTCGTGCACCGCTTTGAGCTCAGGTGTCACTATGTCATTGGGAATGTCTTACGGGGACACGCGAGGACGACCTTCATACCCCCGCCGGATGTTTATGCATCGAAGTGTGCACGGTAACCATGCACGCTTACAGTATGGATAAAGTGACCGGCAATGGAGAATGATAAGCCAATGCTTTCGGTGTGCAGTAAAAGGAGTTGTACAGTAATGTAACAACCTACTTTGCAATCACCTCTTCATTGTCCCGAGTGACAGGATTGACGCAATATCAGTGAAGACCAGTGGGCTGGAATACAACGTCAATGGGGCCATGGTTTAACTCTAACCGGTTGGCTAATGGTTTGGCGTGCAGACGCCGATTAGTTGGGAGTCAGTAAACCAGTACTGAGAAAAATCAGTCAATGCAGACCAAGAACCAGACGGCGAGCAGAAGGTGACAATCATCAACAGAGAAGTCGCCTATATCGTGCAAGAAGCTGCGTCAAAGCACAAAAGTGGAGCTTTCACCCACGTTTGCTCCTCGTTAGTCCAGTTCCCGGACGCGCAGTTCTCTTGCTTAAGGCAACTTTCCGCACCGCTAAAGTACGACTGAATCGGTTCTAAGCGACCCATCTGAGGCATGTGACCATCGCCAAACATTTTGGTTATCGGAAAACGAGTAGATGACCCTTGGCTTTACTGACCTCCACTTGCTTCGCATGCGAGCCACTTGTCTGGCGTATCAGATACCAGCACCCTGCGGTCTCACATGGCAGAACATGGATGGGGAACCGTCGACCTCCTATAAGGAGTAGGGCGAGACAATTTGACTGACAGCTAGCCGAATACTTGGCTGAGATGAGCAGTTAAAAGGTACTCGGAAAGCGGTACCCAATGTGACTCGATGGAACGAGGAGGTTAGCGAATTGTAGCACCGCATTGGTGTACCGTTGTGCTAGAGCCTCCGCAATGAATGACTGTCAAACTGATAAGAGATTGCTTCAGTTCCATTACAAACAGACTGAAGGCCCTAGGAATTTCAAGTGAAGAATATGGGCGGCTGCAGGGCGATCATCTAACGAAGCAGCACAACTTCGAAGACCCCATCTGCGCATGCCGTTGCCTATTGAAGCTCAGCCACAATATCTTCCTCTGCGGCCTGCAATTAAAGGCGATTGTGTAATATAGCCGGTTGGAATGGTACCTAAACATTCTTCACTTCGGCTGTGCCAATCGTGGCACAGTCAACTGGCCGCGATTCCCGTTCTTACATTAGCGGAAATCAAAAGTGACCTGATGAGACGCCGTTTCGTGTGCATTAATATAGTATAAATCAAGGTGACTGAGCCATAACCTAACGTAACCGAACTGTGCACACATGTGAAACGTATCGGTTAAGTCCACTTGCTTGTCGGTAAATATGCGAATTTGTTAATGTATTATAATTTCGTAGAAAGTAGTTTCTTTCGGGACAGTTCCGTTTTGGGCCCTATCCTTTCATCTATGGGACGTGCTCCGCACTTACCTTTCTGCACGCAACAAATCCATTGTGCAAACGACAATTAACAGGACAGATAAAAACCCCACGGAGTTCATTGTTCAACTTCAGAGTACCCGCCGTGCGTTTGGCTTACGACATACAATCTCAATAGGGGGCCACGATTTACACTGAAGTAAACACCGATTACGGTCACTAGGATCACATCCGGAATTGCGGAGTTGCGGTGCTGTCTCTCCCAACACGGACGCCCTACAACCGATTTCTTCTTTGTTTGGACTCATCAGGTAGAAAAGATAGTCTGAGCTGAGAGTGGAACTCGACGCATGGTGATTCACAGCTTACGTTTGATTATTAAGCCAGATCTCCGTGAGCAGCGCTTGGCACAGCGGTTGAAAATTTGTTGTCGGGTATTGTGATACACGCCATGTGCTTGAATTGCGACACGCAGGCTCAGTTAGGACACAGGTGTCAACCACCAATAGGTTTCACTCATACCTCCGAGGCTATTCCCACTTGGAGAAGGCAAACAAAAACAAAATACGGTAGTGAGGCATCACATTGATTCAGTCCTGTATTGATGTGTGGTACCGGTAATGCGCGAATCAGGTGCCAAAGTGTGGAACACACTGCTCAAGTCAATTCAAGAGGAACTGCGTAGCAGCCAGTGCTGGTCCAAAAAGCACTGTTATATGCATGCACTATAATATAGTTAACCGAATAACACATTACTACAAAAAGACTAACCGCGAGCGCGCAACAGTTGCTCAATCTCAGCTGATCCATGACGGTCTGTTACTCGAGGGTCCGATTGTGATTCGGCGGTGGCCAAATCAACCAACACAGTTTGTGCTGTGATGCGAGCGTCCACCGAAGTCTCAGCGATTACACCAACGGCGCCTCTCTTGACCCAACCGGAGCAGTAAAGCGGACACAAAGTGGGATTGAGGGATCCGCCGCCTTCAGGATCGGCAACTCGACCACGATGGTCCTTGGATTTGATTACACCCCGACTGGTGTCAAACGGCAGGTCCGGATCGATTGGTACACTACGATAACCAATGCTTCGGATGACAAGCCCACACTCCAACACTTCTGTCGGTGCGTCAGGGTTGGTGCAGATATCTTGATTCTCGTTGGCGGCTCCCTAGGTAAGAGCAGCAAAACAGGGGAGAAAAAGGCAAGAGGTATTAATACAAATAGGTACTGATACAAGTGCGAGAGACCAGGCAGCGATAATGAATCAGCTAAGTGAAAACACGGCTAGCTTGCTGCTCCGCATGTGTGTTGGATGGGATCTGCAGTCCCCCACTGTTCAGCCTGACAGATACAATTGATCAGTAGTTTCGGACTACCGATATGGCAGAACAGACTTTGTAAATCGATGAAAGCCACTACATGCTAATCTTTTGCATTGGCTACAAGGGACGATTGATCGATGACACTGATATATAATTGATCGGATACTGAAATGGAAAATCTGACAGAAAACAGTGCTGAATTGCTGGCTGGCCCTTTCCACAAAGGGTCGGAGCAGGAAAATTGGAGGCAAGATGAAACGACTGTAGGGTTGAGTACCTAGTTTCAATGGAGAATCGCATTCTTAGTACTCGTCGTTGTTCTTGGTTAAGTAAAGAGCAAAGAGACAGGAGAGAGAAAGAAAGGTGTAGCGTGGATGCTGATCATAGAGGGCAGCATGGACACAGGGAGTCTGAGAGCAGATGCAATAAAGAGTTGGTGCGCTGGAAGAACAGTTTTACAATAGCCTTGGATAGTATGAAAAGACCGAAACGAACGTACCACGAGTTGGTTGACGGCCAATTCAACCGCACGGACAGAGGATTTCAAAGGAGAGGTGCGAGTTTCATCAGTCGGTATAATTCGCACCGGTGAGCGCAAAAACTGAATATCGCACCGCTTCGAACTGCAGCGGTAGTTCTGTTTGGAGGACAATTCGGACAGGAACTTCATCAAACGGCGACGAGAGCGTGGAAGGCCTGGAAACACGAGAAAATGCCAATGCACGGAGCCTCATAACTGGGCTAAAGATGTTGCAAAGAAAACAAGTGCGTAGAGTTGTCAGTGGATCTGTATCTCCGGTGTAGGTCAAAACAGTAAAAATATAAAAAATTGATGGTAAGGATTGTAATGGAGCAGATTAGGATGCAATGGATAACATATTCCACAGTTGGTAAACTGGGGTGGTCGTTTTGAATTTGACACAAAACCGGATGGGAGAAGACAAATCAGCGAAGCAGGTAGTATGATGCCACTGTAAACAACGTTGTCATTGTAATACATCAAAGAAAGGGAGTGATTGAAGCACAGCCAAACGTCGTCAACCAATCAGTGGAGCCACTGGTTTGCGGTCAGGTTTTGGCTTGGTCTGGGCAATCATACAGTCTCTTGTCCAGGTAATAAAATGAATCCTTCCTCGAACTATTTCTTGACGCTCTGGCCGTCGCAGAGGATAAGTCACCGCGCTCTATTTGCTGAATCGAGCAGGGGGGATAGGAGTGAGGATGCTACTGCTCAAGCCTTCCCGTCTTTTCACTCCCCACTTGCACGTTCTCATCCTTATCGTCCCCTAGCAACTCCGCTTTTATCCCACCCTGCTTGCAACCCCAAATGTTTGAACCTCCCTATCTTACTTCAATGGTCGCTTGTCTTCTAGTTTCGACTCACACGCAATCGCAGGGCGTCGCCCCAGTTCAGTCGACAAGTACCTGCAACCAAGCGGACAACGGCCTCTCATGCGTTTCTCTTTGGAGCCCTCGACCCTTGCTAAGACTGGCAGGCCTCAATTTGCGTACTTTGGTACAAATTGGTTAACAAGCAGCAATTGCTCGAACTTTAGAGACCTTGTCGATCGATATCTGCCGTTTATCAGAAATTCGCCTGAAAGATTCGAGCTCCGAGCTTATCTTGCGATCCACCACATGCAACACTGGTGGCACAATCTTATTGCGCCTGTCCGGAGAGGACGCAGCTTCAAATCCAGTCAAGACGGAGTGGGCATTGTCTTGAGTCCCCAGGCTGAAGCTGCCCTGATGGACTGGATTCCAGTCAACAGCCGGATGTGCGTCGTTAGACTGGCTAGCTCGTTCCAGGCTTCGAAGTCGCATGGGGACAAACGGAGCCTGTTTGTCACTGCGGCCTACGCGCCCACAAACCGTAGCACTGATTCCGTGAAAGATGACCTCTATCACCGATTAAACGAGCTCACTGGTTAGATAAAAAGTACGTATACCTTGGTGCTTGCTGGTGATTTGGATACTCAAGTTGGAAAATTGTCCACTGATGAGTATCATTTGGGCGGTCATCATGGTGTAAGCTTCCGTAATAATAACGATGAGTGGTTGTTACACCTGTGTGAAGAGGCTCGTCTATTTCTCGTGAGCATTAACTTCAGAAACAACACCTGCAGAAGAGTGACATAGCGCCCATCAGCCCCGGAACAGCCATAAACACAAATCGATCATATCACGATCAGGTATCGCTGGAGAGATCATGTCCAAAACGGCCGTTCGATTTGAAGCACCAGTGTGGACTCTGAGCACGCTATTGTGTGTGTGCCAATCTGCGGACGTCCGCAACGACGCTGTGAGCGCATAGACACTAGCCAACTGGCGAAGCCAGGTGTTCTGAATGCGTAGCAAAGTATATCGGCATCCGGGTTGAGCAAACGCCTGCTGAACATAGGTGAAGACCACTGATCGCATATTCACCAGATGCTACTATAAGCAGACATATCTTCGTATGTCAAATCAAATTGTCCACCAACACACTGAGTCTCTAAGTGGTGTCTGGAACTTCTAGATGCTCACCGAGATGTTCCGGTTGGAAGTGAACACAATGAGACTCGCAAAGGTCTCATGTCAAAACTGCGTGATAGCTTGAAGAGAGACAGGGAAGCCTGGTAGTCTCAACGCGCGTCGGAGATGGAAACAGCCGCTGTCGTTGGTAACCATCGTAAGTTATTCCGTATGATACGGAAATCAGGCAGCAGGAGACTTGGCGTTAGTGAGACCATACACGACGAGAGTGGACAAGTAATCCACAACTTGTCAAACGACTGGAGCGCTGGGCAGAATATTTTGAAATGCAGTTTAATCAATCTGAGTTATCATCTTCGTTTTCGGTCATTGACTGCCCTTTTCCCTGAGCTGTCCCTTTGGACATGCCCTCATGCTCATAAGTCGATCGTGAGATCCGAATGTTGAAATTGAATTAGGCCGCAAGAGCAGATAGACTTCCTTCAAACCTTTTCAAATTTGGGGGACCAGCTTTCACGAGTGACGTACACAACGCACTAGCGAAGCTGTGGAAGTAAGACTGTCGCAGCAGACTGGAGCCGCTTCGTCATAGCCCCAATTTTCAAGGGAGGCTCATGTTCTCAATGCGGCCAACGCAGACGAATCAGTATGATCCTAAACGCCTTTAACTCGCTTGCATCTGTCGTTCTCCACAGGTTGGCTCGCACCCGCGAAGAGCGAGTCGGATTTCGTCGAATTCGAGGCTGTATTGACCACACCATTAATTTACGTCAGTTGTTGGGACATCGCCAAATTTATTATTCATGAATAGGAAGATTTTATTTGTAATTGCAATATATTCGTCCCAGTAGCTCACAAGATACCTAGCACAAATCCCAATCCAGATAAGTACCAGACGCGCTTTCACCCTATCAGGTGAATACATTAAAATTGCAACTAAAATCCTCCTACTCACGAGTAATATAAAATGTAGCCCGCTTTGTTTCAAATGCTTTGGATAGCGTTTAGTGAGTCATGACCTCGGAGGCTAGCCGCTGTCATCTGCACAGGTAGGGACCTGCGTGGTAGTGGAAGATAGGTCGTGCTATATCCCGGTTAGCTCGCAAATTATGTAGCTCAACCATCGTCCACCATGCATCAGTGGCTTAGGCTGCTGGCTAGTTGGCGTCAGCCTCTAGCGGTTATGGGTTCGATCCCCCGTAGGGGACCGAAGGATGCACATCACTGGCGAGCCCCGATAGGGCGAAACACGCGTCTGACGCTTTTCCGGATTGAGGATTGTGCTATGTATTTTGTGAGCTGCTGGGACGAACACATAAAAATTAAGGTCATATTTACTGGCGACCCATCGTTGTCCTGTTCCTTGAGATGAAAAGTGCCCATGATTCGGTGAACCGATATGCGCTTTGGGACTACTCAGGAAAGCTGTGCTCGAAAAGTACGTGGACATTATTAGAGCGATGTAAGCGCGTAGTTCGGGAAGTGTGAGGGTTTTAGTCAAGCTATCTCCAGCGGTGTGAAACAAGGATGCCCGCTTTCACATATCCTCTGTAACTTCGCTAATAAGAAAGGTTTGAAAACGGGGTTCGCTAGACACGATCTACAAGGTGTGGAGCTTCTTCCTGGCGAGCGACTTTTTGAGTTGGGGTATGCCAGCCATATAGCTCTTATCCGTGACAAGCAACACTGGATTGATTAGCACTGAATGTCAGTCATTTTGGGATTTGCATTGCACTAGAAATGCACAGTCCTTCTCAACGATTAGAGTAGACCCACCAATGTGCTGACCTTTGTTGGTGCTCAAGTATCTGGGCAGCTATATTAATGCCTGTGGAATAGAAGATGAGGCCACGAACTGTATTGTAAAAGCTCGAGAGGCTTTTACCAATCTTCGCCACCTGTGGCGCGGGCGCGACATCACGCTCACCATGAAAGGCAGAGTTTACAATGCAGCCGTCCGTTCAACCCGTCTGGACGGTTGTGAAACCTGGCCCACCAGGTCGACAAACATAAAGTGGGTTTTTGCATTCGAGCATCGCAACTTAGCTCATGCCAGTTGGGAACAACGCATGAACGGTGAACGTGTTCCCCATCTAGCATATGGTGCAGAAAGAGTGAGTGAATCGCTTAGCACACACCAGGCTCCGATGTCGGCCCGTAGCCTTAAGGATCACAAGTCTACCTTGTACTATGTGGGCGCGGGTTCGGACCTGTGTAGGGACCGAATAACCCTCGCAGTATCCTTAGCACACGCGCGTCTGGTGGTGGTTGTGCGGCAGCGAAGCGACCGCACTGCGTACCGGCGTAATGCTGATGTCTCTTCCTGACTCTCTTCAATGGCTGGACCACGTGTTGCGCGTGCCAGCATACTGATACCCGTGTCGTGCGTTGTTTGCGCGTCGGGAATGTGAATGGAAGAAGAAGAGGGAAGGCCAAATGATGACTTGGTCAAGAGGAATGAAAACCCTAAGCTCGAAGTTGGTGTCTCTGACTACGGGCTGGGGTCGTAGAACTATGAACACGTTTGGATGGATACACTTGCTGACATGGTGAAAAGCCGACCTTAGTGTCCTTTGTGTTACGAGTTCCTCTGTCCCTCCCCCTCACAACCACAATCTCATACCCAATGGGTGATATGATAGAAGCATATTACTTTGTACCCTATCATATCTGATAGTTTTTTGTATTACCGCACATTAGCTGAGATGTTTCTCACTCTCGGCTATCGCGTATTGATGATAATGGAGCCGTGTAAACAAGAGACCAGGTCCGGAGGGACCAATGAGAGGGTCGACTAGATCCTCGTCCGATTGATTGCATGGTTGGTGTTCGTGAACCAGTTCATACAGGCTTCGCCAACCACATAAGCCATCTGAACATCGGAGACGGCTCAGATTTTCCACCGCAGTAGTGGACAAAATTCAATATTATTCGCTATCAACGTTGCCGACTGTCGTTACAGGTTTCAAAACGCGCACTGAACTCCCCGTGCTTAGACTTATTAGTTGAACCATATGCCAACAAAACAAGTATCCTAGAAACAGCAAAGGTGGCGGATTGCGCGAATAATCCCAGTGACCTTACTTAAACAACGAACATAGGGTACTAGCTAGACTACTGCTTTTCGTGTATACACACTAGCAGTGAGTATTATCTGAGTGATATAACGGTCTGGTCGCTGCGATTGTCCTAGTCGACTCAAACGGTACAGTCAAGATGAACGATACGGACGCCGTGTAAACATGTACACCGAACGAGACAGAACACACTTGTCGATACTCACGAACTAGACGAGACGCACTAGTGGATCCTTGCAATGTGAACCGCTTGCCACCCGCGCACCCAACCCCGAGAGAAGACTAGCCTTCAGCAGAGCAATTTTAAGACTCAGCGGAATGGCGATTACATGGCCGCAGAGCTTCAATTTTATACCGAGAATGACGACATAGACTGCGGAGGCATGTAGGTGACAAGACAATCCACACGCAATGCTCTGAGTGCCGGAGCAAGTGAAAATGTGGAAGTGTCAGATATGAGAGTGGGTGTGTCTGGATTGTGCACTCATAAAAGCATGATGTCTGGATCACGACTAGAGTGACCCTCTTGGGAGACAAGTGCTCCACATAACATGAGCGACACAAGTACGCTGTACACGCCAGTAATAATTCAGGCGTACATTGAAACGCCAGATATCGGAAAGATTACATATACTGTGGGCGTTTAAAAGCGTATCAGTGGAGGCAGACGACAGACCGAGCTCAAAAAACGCATGTACGAAACAGTAGAGCGTTAGTGTGGAAAACAGTGCTACATAATAAAATCACCTGATGAAAATAGTCGCATTTGGTATGTTCACATAGCTCGTGGCCTAAGTGCTTTTCCCTTTCTGCCCTTGGAAGATGGGGAAGATTAGGAGATGTAGGGTACTATAGAGATGGATTTCCCAAAAATGCTTGTTTTTTTGAGCGTATTAAGACAGCAGATCGTAAGGATGAAAAGGTTTGGGAGAAAGTGGAAAAATATAGAGGCAGTGAATTGCAATAACATGAAATTATTTAATCCATCAAAACGTTTTAACCGGTTTCAACATTCTGATTGACAAAAAAGCCATTAAACGCAATAAAAAGTGTAGAAGCGAAATAAAGTTGGCGAAGTTATACTTTTCAAGCGCATTAAGGCACTCGAACCGGCTGGTGGACAGGTGAGCTCTCGTAACACCATCCATGCACTACCACGGATAGCACTGATGGCCCAAATGCCAGTGGCACATAAGTGGTACAGATTGCACAAACGACGGCGACGTTCCTAGCCGGCCAAGTCAAAGTAACAGGCATTCGTAGGGCCATTTGACTGTTTTTGCGACTATTTGAAACACAGCTCACCTTGTAACAAGTTCTCGTTAAATTCTGATCCCGGGAAGCAGTCGTTTATAATGCCCGGAGGAAGAAAGTTGATGGGAAGGTAATGAGGAGTCGAACTCTCCTCTCCAATATCCAGGCGAGATAGCTCTCGCAGTTCTTTTAGAGTGAATGCAGCTTGGAGAGGACCACGACGGGCGACAAGAACAACGCGGCGTATGTTACTCGAGATCAAGTGGCTGATGACAGGCTCGGGAATATCGGTTAACAAGAAAAAAGTAACAATAGAATTGGACACTTACTTTAAGCGCACTGGGTTTAGATAACAGAATACGTGCTATGTCGATTGCGACATTGCCTACTCCGATTACGACAGCAGTGTCACAATCAAAGTCTGGCCGCAGCTGGTATTGCTGATGTCAAGTAAAGAGAAACGCTCACATCTGAAAGACCAGGAAGACCATTGTACCAACCAACAAAGTCTTTTGCTGCTATAACGCCCGATAGATTCTATGAATAACGAAAGGTAACCACGTATATCACTCACCGTACCTCGCCCGGAATACAAAGGTGGCGGTCAACCGAAGCTCCGTAGGCCTGAAAGAATGTTAACCACGAGTGCGCAGCTCACCAGAATAACGGCACCATAAGCTCTTTGAAGTTCATGCAACCGTACATCTTTGCCAACGTTCACATTTCCGAAGAATCTGAAACGCGGGTTTCTGGCCACTTCGGTAAACGTATTGATTACGTTCTAAGAAAACAGCAATATGCTTCAAATTGGGAGTACCTTGACCTCAGGGTGATCAGGTGCGACGCCGTAACGCACAAGGCCGAACGGAGCTGGGAGCTTTTCGTACATGTCAACACAGGCGGAAGTATGATGCTGAAACCGCGTTATATGGAATGGACTTCCATACCCGCAAAAGAAACTGGGCCACATAAAATGCTGAAGGGCCGCTGCCCACTATACAAACCGGTGGCTTTGAGGAGCAGAAGCGTTTCAGGGTAAGCCGTATAGCCTTAAGGAAAAAGACAAGAGCTACGAACATTTACCAGAAGACAACGAAAAAGCCGCTCGCCTGACGTGGCAACACCAAATGATAGCATCGTGTTGCCCCTGGGGCTAAAATCACAAAAAAATATGGACAATAGTCAGGAAAGTTGTTGCACCACAATTGTTGCGGTAACGCAGTGCTCCAAAAGGAAATAGAAAGCCGGTTCGGTAGTTGATAGATGGAAGTTACCTAGGCCTTACTCCAACACGCGGTAGGTATCAAGGGGGATGATGACGCTCTAAATTTCAGGTGGAAACAGATGACGCAGTAATTTTGTGGCCGTGCGTCGAGTGGGTGGACGAGTGCCGGTCGCGCCAGACCAGTTCCCGGAAGTTGCATAGGGTTCAAGGACGGATGTTGCGTTTGTGTTCCAAGCAAACGGCAACGACATTCCGATAAGCAGACCGCCTAATTCCCTAATACATAGGAAAACTATAATGTATACTATGTTAAAATAATTCGCACAGTCAAACGGGTGAATATCCAGGTCCTCACAATTCAATTGCAATAAAGCAGAACAATCATGAAATGAACCCTCTCAAATCTCTGGAAAAATATTTCAGGTGTGACACAAGTTATATCGAGTATCTCTATTTTAGATTGATTGTGTCGACTTTAGTAACCCGAAGTGGATTCTGTTCGCCTTTGTCCAGATAAAAACACACGAAAGCGTCCGGAAGAGACCGAACCAGCTCAGAAACATTCGCAGTATGCTGGTACAAAATGGTTGAGAATATCCGTGGATCAGGGTGTGGATGTAGGTTGTGCATTGCTCTCCGATGTCAATGATTAGTTTGCAAACGTCTTGTTGCGACTAGGCAACATCATCAGTGCGGCTTTAAAGGCCTGTTACGCAGAGCCTCGTAAGTGACTTCGAGATCTGAGTGTTTATTGATCGAGTTCTGTTTTGAATACCAGGCTCCAATAAACTCACATGATTGTTCATATTCCGATGATTTCGAAATGGTCCAGATCGAACTGGTGGTTTTTGGCATACATATGCACGGACACCAAGGAATTCTGATCATGACGATGAACGGCTAGGTTGTGTTCATGCATCTGTGTACCAAGCTTTCTTCCTGTTTGTCCTACGTAGAATTTCGGCATCAGATCCTGTAGATTAAATCATATGTCTCCCACTTACTAAGTTTATCTTACATTTTGAAGAAGTTATTTCGTATGATCTCTGTTGGTTGGTGGGCTGGTACATCATATTGACGCCACGCTACCACCAACGGTCGCGTGCGGGCTTGGAATGCGGCGAAGTCGCTTGAACCGGTAACCTTCCGATTACAAGACAAGCGCCTGAACCGATCGGCCATCATCTGGGGCCGAACCAACTCGAGCTCAGTGAGTAAACTGAGCTGATTCTTTGGTGGGTGCTAGTTATAGAAAGCAATTTCAGTCTGGCGGAACCTTATGGTGGTCAGTTTATGGGGAGGAGTGTGAAGCAAATGACCAATCAAGTGGGTCGAGTAGATAGGTTAGATCGATGGCGAGCGAGACCTTGTTCGCATTTGTGTTTGGCCAGCCCATTCTGCTAAACATTATAACGCACTAGAGAAACCTTCACACTAGCAGCTATCACTCGTCTTGCAGGAACGATCGAGGACACTAGACTTCTAACCATTACCTTCAAATCGATCATTAGCGTCGTACTTTAGAGTCCCGCTAGTCCATGAGAAAGTGGAATCAATAAGTAGTAGTAGTAGTAAGCTCAGCAGTCGATCATCTAGACACAGAGCCAACATAAAATCATGGAGCTCAGCGGATAAGAGACCATCATCACGCCATAATCATCGTGGCATGGTAGTTGAAGGTGAGCAACACACTTCAGCTAATATGCCGCAGCAAGAATGGAACATTTTGACAAAAAGTAGAACAAAACATTGTTTGTTTTTCACACGTCGATTTTTCTCTTTTTTGTCATTTTCAATGTTTGTAGTGTTAAACATGTGAATGAATACAATACTGTACACAATCCTTCCACTGATTCCGGTTGTGGGCCATGTCTTCAAGAGTACTTAGCCATTGGCGCTCCTCACCTTTGGGTTCCCATCCTGGAAGACGTACGGATCCAACAACGGCTAGACACGACGTCAGCGATTTCATGTGCTGCCGCCAAGTAGAAGGCTGACCACCACGCGGTCGCCTCCAGCCAGGTCCTTGACGAGCAAATGCAGTGCGGACGCGGTAGCCGCTCAGGTGCCATGCGTAGGACGTGACCAAACCGTCTCAACTGGCGCAACAAAACCAGTTTGTTGAAGGGAATACTCACATTCCCCAAGATGCGACGTACAACGTCATTACTATTAACTCGATGTTGCCACCAAACACGCGCGATCCTCCTTAAGCAACCGTTATCGAACGCAGAAAGACGACGCATGTCTTCCACGCGAATCGGCCAGGACTCGCACCCATACAACAATATTCAGCGAACTGATACACTGTAAACTCGGCCCTTTAGTGAGAATGAGACGTCGCGACGACGCCACAAGTGCCTCAAATTGACAAATGCTGATCGAGCTTTAGCGATACGAAGAGACACTTCTTTGTTGATAGTGCCGTCAGCAGAAATACAGCTCCCAAGGTAGACGAAACTATTTACCTGTTCAAGTAGTGCGTCTTCGAGAGTGAGTACGGGAGCAGGCAAATGCCGATCTTTGAGCAGTAGTTTACACTTCGATGGGGCGAAGCTCATGCAATACCTAAATGCTTCAACCGCCAAACGATCCAGAATGAGTTGCATACTCTGAGGATTGGCACCAAGTAAGGCGATATCCTCAGCATAATCTAAGTCGGTCGCGCGCTCACTCGGTAGAAGCTCTAGGCCAAAAGATTGGAAACCTTCTAGAGCATTCGACAGAACATCTTCGATTGCGAAGTTGAAGAGGAATGGGGACATAGGGCAGCCCTGTCGCACACCGCTATTGACAGTGAATTGCGGGGAAAGCTTGCTATAGACCCTCACTCTGCCGCATGTATGAAGGTAAAGTGCTCGTAAAATGGCGGTATATTTCTCTGGCACCCCGTTCTTTAGCAAGCAACGCCATAAAGCAGGTCGATCAATGAAGTCAAAAGAGACGCGTATGTCTAGGAATGCAACGATAATGGACCTGTGATAAATGTGGCGGTGTTTCAGGAGCTGACGGAGCGTGAAGATTTGATCCACTCATCCGCGACCAGGACGGAAACCAGCTTATTCTTCACGGTAGTATGATTCACGTACTGGGGATAGTCTACGAAGCAGAATGGATGCCAATAGCTTAGAGGCAACCGAAATAAGACTAATCCCGCGAGGATTTGCACATGAAGTGCGCGCGCCTTCCTTGAAAATCGGGACCATAAATGAATCGTCCCAAGAGGAAGGCACTTTCTCTTCATGCCAAATTTTTGCGAACAGCGCGGTCAGCTGGTTAATGATCGTCACACCGCCGTACTTGAATAGCTCCGGAGGAAGTCCGTCTAAGCTGGCAGCCTTGAAGCGCTTCAAGCGTCGAATCTCGAGGCAGACTTCTGCTTCGCTGGGTGGGTTCAGTGGGACGAGCCAGGGTGGACAACAAGGTGTACTGCATGTACTGATGGATGGTGGAGGCCAGTTGAACTGCGAGTGAAAGTGCTCGGCCCAGCGGTCCATACGCCTCTGCTGGTTGGTGATCGGAGACTCATCCACCTCACAAATGACCTCACTGACACCAGGTTTCCTGAGGCCAGTGGACCGAATGAGTTGGAAAAGCCTGCGAGTGTTGCCAGAGAGGGCAGCGGTCTCCATCTCTAAAGCACGTTCAGACCACCACGTCTCGCGATCCTTGCGTAGGCTTTGCTTGAGCAGCCGGTTGGCAGAACGGCGCCGCTCGTTGTAATCTGATTCCGCGGGGATATCTTCGCGGCGTTCGAACAGCTCCAGAGAACGAGCAGAGATCCAAGCCTTCAATGGGCGTCGAGTTAGGCCGCAGCATGACTGTCCGGAAATGGTCATTCCCTTCCGTATACAAGTCCAGTGTTGTTCCACTTCTTGCGGTGGATTGCAACTGAGTGCATATGCCAATGTAGACTGACAGCTCGTCCGGACAGAGGAATCAGTTAATCTGTTTACATCAATCTTGCATGGGTTCCTGTTTCGGGACCCTCCAAAACACATACAGATTTTCGCGCAGACCAGAGCATGATCTGAGTCAAAGAAGGTGGACCCAAAGGAACTGCAGTCCAGTACGCTGCCATACCATCTGAAGCTAATTGCAACGTGATCAGTTTGAGACCACGGTTGTGTTGAAGAAGAGGAACGCCACGTGGCGGAACACTTTTTCGTACGCCTGAAGTTAGTGCTCGCAAGAAACAGACAGTTGTCTTCGCACAATGTGAGAACCCTTTCTCCGTTATCAGAGCTGTTCTCATCGAGCGCATGATGACCCCCAAAGTGGCGTTCGTATGGTAACAGGCGGCCAACCCGTGCATTAAAATCCCCAGCAAGGATAACGATATCCGACTCTTAGCATTAGTCAAGAGCTGTTGTAGATCTCGGTAGAATTCGTCCTTGACCAAGTTGCCACTGCAGTCAGTTGGAGTGTACACGGAGATCACAAACAAATTGTCTCTCTTCGCGGTGCTTTTTGATTTTACATGAACCCCGAAGCCGAACTGCACATAGTCGGCTGTTAATCGGGAACCAGTCCAGTGGTGCCGCCCCGGCCTTGCCACTTAGTGCTATACCTACACCAGCCAAACCCGCTGAGGCTGCTTCCGGATCTCCAGAAAGACGCAGGTGATATCTGGCCTCGTGGTCAGTGGGCGATGCCAATGTAAGCACAGTGCTGGGATCTTGCAATCGGGTTTCTGAAAGGCAACAGACATCAATGTCTAGGGAATGTAGGGTGTGCACTAAACTGGCTTCCTGTCCAATCTGCATGAGTGTCCGAACGTTGAAACACGCTAGACGGAACGAGGATCGGGGACGAAGGAGAGCCATAGGTTGAACTCCTTGGTCCGTGGCGCAA